AAAATTACGAATCGGTGAAAAAAAAAACGAATCGATAAGAATCAGCCTAAGACGCACCACGTTGCGACGCAGCATCTCGTTTTCACCCTGCTGTGCCTAAAAAGTAAATCCGTATTGTTGGTGGGACTGAACAATCCATCATCCGTCCCTGTGAGCCCCGTTCGTTGACAACAGCAGCATGCAGCCCACGCTTCCTGAAAAGGCGCTCTCTCTTCTTCTTGGAGCATCGCACCAGCAAACAAACAAACGTGGACGATGCAGCAGCGCACCGACAGAGTTTGAAACGTGGAAGAAATCTACCTCCCGTGTCGCCACTGTTGGCCCAACGTACAGAAAACTTCCATAACACAGACGTACCTGAGAAGAAATAGATCTCCTCCAATATACCTCTTGGCTGCAGCAGCCTCCGTCGTGCTTCCTTGGGGCAGACCAACAAGTGCCCCCTAGTCTACTCTTCTAGTCAGGTTTCAGACACTTCACGCTGACTCCATACTGCTGCTCTCTGATTGGCCAACAGATACCTTCCGCTCCTCATGAAACTCAGATTTCAATGCCTCTGTCTCTGCAATCTTCTGCATTGTAAATATGTTCGGCGTCAACAGACAGTTGCCAGTCGTCTCGGCGATGCTGACTTTTCGTACCAGCCCATTCCTTAGCAATAGATCCGTGCCAGTTTGAGATATTGCATGCCTCCATTGGCCCCGGGGATGGTGAGCTATCGTCCCCTAAATTTGAAGGACGCAACCCCGCTTTTTTTCGGGAAAAACCATGCGCATCCTAAAAGCCGGGTCGACTGCTGAATTTCCCTCAATGCACATCATCTCCGCAGGATCTTTCGCACACCATCTACGGAGCGTTGCCGGAGAACCATACGCGAGGTAGGCGTAGCAGTAGGAGAAGCACCACGCGAGTATCCTGCACAGCGGCGTCCGCTGCGCCAGAACACGGATTTTCTAAAATATGAACAAGCCGCCGCCGCAAACACCAACTAGCCGTGGTGGTGGCTCTTCTGGCGGCAGGAACCAGGCGGAGGTAAGAGACAGAGAGCTACTGCTTGTCTGCGTCCCGTTCTGGGAGTAGCAGTCAACGAGAGGGCGTCACCGGTTCACCATCATTGCTGCGGCTTGTGCCCATACAAACACACGAATCATATACCCACAACTCGGCGAAATCGAACGGAGAACGGACTATGGCACACCGATCGCCTCTGCGTCACGCACGCAATCCCCCGACATGCCCTGCCCGAAATAGCTGGTGAGTTGTTGGCGAACGCGTGACGAGTGAGCCTCACGCGTAGCTGAGATCGACAGAAAACTCATCGGCTGAGTCCGCTGGCATTCATCATCGGTTAGATACTGCTAACACCTTTCGAGGGCACGTTGTCCGACCTTCTATGTACTTCTAGAAGGAACGAGTTGATCCATCGATGCATCGGTATGTAGTTGCGAGGTGCAGCTTGTTACCTGGTCAAGGGAAGACCTTGCCACACAAACTCACGCCCGACCTTATTTTCAGATCATACTGCACACCAAGCTGTGTGACCTGTTGCTCGAAGCCACAGCGTGTGTGCTGGTGCCATAATAGTAGCATCTCTGAAGCGGTGCATTTTTTCTTTCAACTGGAATTTGCCGCCCGTAACTTCATCTTCTTTCGGACTGCAGCTGCCGCCGCCGTTGAGGAACACGATCGACCATTGGATACTATTGACACCACGAGACAGTATTGCCCAAACTGGCACTGTTGACAGCAGCCCTCCAATTTTGCCGGTAACGGCACTACTGCTGAGTGGGTGTTGGTAGTGCGTGCGCTCTGTACTCTACCGTAGAAGTATGCCAGTAGCAATCTAAGGCGGTACAGCAGCAGTAGCTAATACCCCGCCCCCCACACAGAGGTGATTTTCTCACATCAGTGTTACGCCACAGCAGAGTCATCACCGGACTGTGTTTCCTTACTATGTCGACCATCGAATCGTCTGTATGCAAAACTCTCCAGAAGAAGATCTGTTTTGCTTCAATAGACCGCGTTGAGCCCTGAGGCTGTGCCGTCGTCCCTCCTGCCGACTATTGCTGTAGTGTCAGTAGATACGTCAATACACTCCCTGTCATTTCTTAAGCCGAGATCCTTGCATGTGCATCAACACGTGTAGTTTAACGGCCTCAAGGGCCTGATTGCCTAACCCTAGGCTTTTTCCAATGCCGCCACTCGCCGTTGGTGCAAGATTACATACACACATGGCAGCGCTCGTGTGATTGTCTTTTCTTTTTCTGTGTCTCTCCTCCTCGCGGCCAAACTTTAGCTCTTAAACAAGGATCTTGTGTCTTGTTTCGGCCCCGTCGTTCCTTACTTAACGCTGACAAGCGCATACATTTCACACGGAGGGCAGAGCGACACTAGAACTCTCTTTTCCAACCCAGCCTGTTGTCGGTCGACAACGTTGTGTCCTTCTGTTGGCACTGTCGAATTAGACTGCTGTGTGACCGTCGCTCACCACCATGCATCGACATGTGGCAATCATGTTCCTGTTCCCGCCCCAGGGAGGCCGGAACCTTGTTGTGCCCGTTGGAAGTGGAGGGGCGGCAACCGCAGTGGGTGCGGCGGCAGCACCAACACCGGCACCGGTACCGGCGGCAGGTGGGAGAGCAGGCGGCGGTGGCGGCAGAGGCGGCACGAGGGGGGGTAAGCGCGGCGGGGATGCCGGAGCGCCGGCGTCTTTCTTGGATAAGCTGTGGAACATTCTCAACGAGCCACACCTGTCGAAGCACATCACTTGGAACAAGGTTCGTTTTGATTCTTTTTTCTGGTAAATTGCTACGTGTGTGATAGCACGCGTTTTCGCGAAAGGGTGTTTTGCGTGATGTCCGTGCCCGTTTGTAGGGTCCACCTCATGCACATACAATCGTGTCGGGCATCACGGTCCATGTCCGTGTACGGCGTATTCGAGTAGTTGCTGCGACCTACAGGCGTGCGCGTCCGTGCGCGCACACGCGTGTATGACACATCAGGTGTGCGCGTGTTTCGCGTTTTTTGTTTCGTGCTCTACGGCCGCCGCGGTTGGTTTCGACTCGACGGCAGGATGGCGACGGCATCTTGATCAATTACCCAGCCCAGTTCGCCAAGGCCGTGCTCCCCAAGTACTACAAACACAATAACTACCAGTCCTTCGTCCGCCAGGTGGGTGGCTGGATCGTAGCCTCCGAGCCAGCTTGGCTAGCCCATGGTAGCATTGCAAAGAAGAGGTGCTCGCTGGCTTCATCCAACCCTTGGCCAAGTCATTTTCTTGTTCGAAACGGCCTCGTGCTACTTTAGGTGGCCTGGCGTCATGTTAGGGGCTGCTGTAGGCCGAGCTGTACACAGATTTGCCTTGAATCGGAACAACCACGAGGTACGGGTTTCATACGAGGGTTTCAGCAGTACCGGGTCGTGTTTGGATTGTTTGGGCACTCACCTATTTGTCCTAGTCTACCCTGGGCTATTTTCTTGAGATGACGCTGGCTTTGGTTACGCTGAACGTTTCGCAGTTCTCGGCGAACCTAACAAATTTATGGTTGGTCGTCGCAGTTTCTCCTGCAGCGCCTGCTGGTCATGCTCCCAGCAGACCCTTCGGATGCGTCGACGAGATAGGCCGCTTCATCTTTAAACGAAAAATGATGGTGGTTGATGGCGTGCTTGCCTGCTAATTGCTGCCAAGAAGTTGAGCTGCCCCTGAAGACTGTCCCGCTCTGAACTCGCAGGTTGCGCGTGAATATTTTGTGAAGTTGTACGTAGAGCTTGGTGAACAGAGCTGGGTGAACAGTAGAGCTACAAAAGAGAAAAATGGGCAGCCGGGCATTGGCCAGGTGGATTTCTGAGGGCAACTTCTGTTGCTCGATCTGTGATGGAGCCGATTGGCGTTGTGCGCGGCTACCTCTGAGATGGACCTGTCCGTCGTGCGTCTGTGCAGCTCAATATCTACGGCTTTCATAAGACGCGGCACGACGATGACGGCGATGAGGACTCGTGCGAGTTCAAGCACCAAAACTTCAGGAAAGGACAGCGACACCTGCTGGGCCTGATCCGCCGGAAGGGTCACAGCATGAGCGCTAGCAACAGCGGCAGCAACAACAACAACAACAGCAACAGCAACAGCAGCAGCAGCAGCAGCAATCACAACAGTGGCAGCCCCTCAGCTGGCATCAGGCACCACGATAGCCACAGCGTGAGTGTGTTGGCTTGCCTGCGGAACATTGTTTGCGCGTTGTCCACGAGGGTTCAGGAGAGGAAATCATTCACTACCGAATGGAGCACCGATTCCCGGCCCCGATACAAGAGCGAACGTGTTGTGTCATTTCTTCTCTTTCGCCCAGGTGACGGCCCAGGAAACGAAGGGAAGCGTGGATCGCATCGCCGTCGAGCTTCGGGCCATGTGTAACAGAGTGACGGTGAGGCTAGTCGTAAGGTCTATCCAAGTCTGGTGCCCGCCATAGAGCGGGTGAAATTGGCTGCCACAGTTGAAAATTCATGACGGATAGTGCATTGAATAGTGCGGGTGCCCTGTATAGGGCGCGTGAATCGGTCTGGCGCATACCCCGACATACAGAGGGCCTACGACTGCATTGCTTTGTTCCTCCCTGCTAGTGTATGTATTGTCGCCGCCCGCGGTTTCGTTCACCAGCCCTAAACTACGGCCTCGCTTCCTTAGTCGCAGAAGCTCGATCCGATGTCACCACCAGCCATGATCCACCAAGTTCTCACCTCAGTTGAAAACAATAATTAGACTGGGGTGCGCAGGTTGTCCGGCAAGATTGTTCGAGTTTCCAGCTTTACTCGGTGCCAGGTTCGGCGAGCCATGTTTTTTCGGCAGAAAATGGATGTGATGTATCAACGCTTGCCCGGTTTGTGTATGCGTCGAGGGTCGGCAAGAACGGGATAGAGATATTTTCCGTTCGGATGCCGAACCAAGTTTTTGGAACACAGTCCGAGACCACCGGGTGCGGTTGTGTACGTAGCCCCTTGGCACGCTATGTATTCATACAATTTTTGGCAACAGCCACGCTCGCTCGTGAACGATGTCCGCTTGGCTGTTGTTTTGGGGGCTTTCCCCACGAGCGCGGCGTACAGCACCTGGAGGCCGAGATAGGCCTGATCAAGCACCGCCACAACCACCTCCGAGCCGAGAGCCAGGTGTTGTTGCGGCTTCTCCTGTCGGAAGGGGGGCGGCGGCTAGAGGAAAAGGCTCTGGCGGTGCTTGGACAGTTGGTGAGAGCGTTCACAATAATTTTCGGTTCTGGGTGAAGCTCGGGTAAATTTTCGATCGCCGCCCGCCAAGGCTGATTTCACATTTTGGTTGCGTGGTTGTTGGTTGGACAAAGGGGTTGGTTCAGTTCCATGGGACGTTTGGCGGAAGTGGTGGTTTAACCGGATACGTGCTTGAATGTTCGTTTGTGTGTTTCCGGGTAAACACGTCTCAGGTCAATGCGTGGCCCATCGCTTGGTCTGTCGATGAGGGCAGCATTGTATTTTTGACTTCGCACCCCCTCCTCCTCACACACCAGTTTCGAACACAGGCATCAAACCTCCGGTAACCACCCCCCACACCCCCCGTTTTGAACCGACACCTTGTCCCGCCGCTGTCGAAGCCCCACACATCGGGCGAGGCAGAGCTGTCGGAGCTGCCGTACCTCGGACTTCGCCCGGAGGACCACGAACAAGAACAGCATCACCACCAACACTACCAATACGCGGACGCGAGAGGGCCAACCCCGATGCCGGAGGAACGCCCCGCCCATTTCCGCGGCAGAAGCTTCGGCGGCGAGCGTTTCGTGGCGGGAGACGCGGCAGAAGACGGGGACCCCACGGCGAGAGGAGGAGGGGTGGGTGCCGCGGGGTACTCCAGGAGCGGCGCCGCGCTCGCGAGCGTCATCGCAGCCGCCCTGGTTAGCAATGCGAGCGAGGAGGACGGCGAGGCTGATGGGGCTCTCCACGACCCGCCCCGACCGCGTCTCGGCGGTCCGGGGCGAGGGACAGCTTGGGGAGGAATGGCGCCGAACATCGACCTCTCGTCGCCAAGCCGCGGTTTGGCCACTGCGACGTTTTCTGGCCCGGCCACCGGTGGCTCAGGAAACGGGGCTGCTGAGTTCGGCGGCTCTGGCAATGCTAGCTGCAATGGCAGCGAGGAGGGTGCGGCATGGCTATCCTCGGACGCGGCAGCTGCAAGTCACGGTTCTCGCGCACCTCCGGTCGACGATCGGGGCCGTTCAACGGCACCTGTAGCACGGGCGGCAGAACCGGCGGCGGCGGGAGGGGGCTCACGGCCCCAAGGCTCTTCACCACGATCTAACTACTTGTACTCGGTTCGTGGGGAAAGAGAGCAAGTGGAGGCAGGGAGAGGGGTAGTGAGGACGGAGAAACGACCAAATAGGGGGAGTGGGGAAGGGGGCACCCCCGGAGAATGGGGTGGCGGAGGAGGGCAGAACGGAGCGGATCATTCTGGAAGTGTGGCAAGGAGCAAGCGAAGAGCTGTGTGATGGGGGGGCATGATTGTCTTTCGCGTGTAGGGCATTTCAACCTTTGCTTGACGGCGGTGCTTGCTTTCTCGATCTGTACCACGGCCTATAGATTGTCGATGGATGGTGGACGGTGGAGCGTTGGATCGGTGGGTGTGATTTTTCCTAAATACCAGTTTTTTGTCCAATTGAAGGTGTACTCGTCTGTTATTTCGTGTCCGGACTTGCGGAGGATATTTTCGAAGCGATTTGGTGTGGCCTTCGTGTTACTACCACTGTCAAGAAGGTAGCATCATCTGTGGGCGTGCTGTCGTCAGCGACTTGCCGCTCCAGTGCCATGGGGGCACCGGGCACGTGAAGGAAGGTCCATGAGTCCGTGTATAGCCCTCGCATGTGCAAAGGGTCAAAGGGTAGAGGGTGTGCTTCAAAACTGTACATTATTCACGTGAGTGTGAAGGCGTCGGCGTGGTTCACGCGCGAGTAGGCGTTCTTTGGTCAATTTCGGGTGCTTGGGGCGACACAAAGTAGAAAGTAGAATATCTTGTTTTGTTCTGGCTGACGCAAAAATATAAGCGGACGCGACGTGGCGTTTGGTATGTAGATGCAACACGCATGCCCTCGGGCTGCCATGCAAACTTCCAGTCCCCCCCCCCTTCCCACGAAACGAAAACCCCACAAGACTGAGCAATTCGGCCTTGGGTGTCTATCAGTAGTGTGCACAACAGACACAAGAACCTCAGACGGTGCCAGGGCGACAGCAACAGACCATGCTACACCAGAGAGCGCGCTTGACGAGTCGCTTCTTGGAGTGCACCGCAGACTTTCGCCGTCGGGCCTGAGCACCACAATACGGTCGATGGGTGTGTCATCCCAAATTGGACATCGGTCTACACCTTCCGGAATATTATTGAACACGCTATTTTGCCGAGGCCACACAACAGTAGGACACCGGTCGCCCCGGTGGTCTAGTGGGTACCTTCGCAGCCTGCTGAGGGCCAGGTCATGGGTTCGAGTCGAGTGATTTTTCCCTCACTAAATAAATCCTGGTCTAGGATGAAAACGACGCGCTGCAAAGCTCGTTGTTAGTAAACCATGATCGACTTCGTAAGTCGCGAGGGAAGGGATTGCCGTACCCTTCTCGCGACAATAATATCTCAGGCAGGAACCGCAGGATGGGGTCCATCCCCCCCTGTTCTGTGTGACCCCGGTTGGGTCGTCTAGCTCGTAGAAGAGGAGGATAGGGGCCAGAGGGGCAGAAGACAGAGTCCAATGAAGGGAGGAAAAAAAGTAAGAAGTGGACAAGGAAAGATTTTTGTTTTCAGTCCTTCGTGGGTGCTTGCTAGAAATTTTGTGGCGAAAAGGATCCAGTCGTTCCTTTCGCTCTACCCTGAAGTCGACTTTGTTGCATACCACGCGCAATTTTCGCTTTACCGCATTACTTGGGAAATACCGTGAGACAATAATCCCACTTCGTATGACTGCGCCGAGCTTCTAACCCACGTCGTCCCGTTCTTCAGAAGGTTGCCACTTGAACCACTCAGCCGCTGTTTCGTGACTAAAGGCTAGGTGGTTGGCACTCCCCAACAAGCGCTGCAACGTCTTCCACCTAACTATCACCAAATTTTCTTAAGAGTCGTTTGAACTGCAGGAAAAAGTCGCGAAACATGAAGACACACGAAACTTCCTAGCACATCACCAAAACATGAAAAACACACAAACCTGTACCTATGCCTGCAGCAACGATCCGAAACGGGCGCATTGTTCCCTGGCGGACAAAATCCGCCAACTGCAACGCCATCTAAGCTTGTTCACGCGCTCTCACACGCACCACACAACAGTCGGTCCTCAGGCTACCTCCTGCCTATCAACTCCTAAACCACGCCTCGCCATTTACAACAACCCTGGATCCGCGTCCTCGCCCGCTTCTAGAACCTCATGTATGGTAGCACTCAAAACACTCGCGCCTTAAGGGGGAGAGGGGTCCAGGAAATGGGGATGAAGGAGTTGGAAAACCAACCCCGCACAACAACCCGAAATGAAAACTCAACATATTCGACCTTCGATGAATAAAACATAGCTCTACAACAGACCCGCACACACCAACTCGAGACCAACCAAACGGGCTCTCTCAGGATCTCCACTCCACCCTCGACTTGATGTTTCCGAACATGAACTTCTCCGTGCTCCACCCCAACGTCTCCAGCGCCGCGAAAAACCCGGGCGCGCCCTCCTCCGCTCTTCGTCGCGCGGCCTCCAGGCAGCGGCACATTTCCGCGGAGGACGGCTTGGGTTGCTCAGATTCCGCCCCCCCCGCCCCTGCTGCGCTCAACACAGGAGCCGTCCCTCCACTACTTCTCGGGATTGGTGCCCCCGACGCCGCCTCCCCCTGCTCAGCACCGCCTGGCGGCGGCGGCGGAACTCCCCTTGTGACCGCCGCCGCCGCCTGCTCCGCGACCGCTGGCGAGCCGTCACCGTTGACGGGTCTCGTCTTGGCGGCGGGCGGTGCCGCTCTGCCACCGCTTCTTGCGGCCGGCGGTGCCCCCACGACCTCGAAGCCCGCCTGCTTCAGCTCGTCCTGGAGGTACTCGAGCGCGAGGAGAGACTTTACCGTGTCGGCCCCCGTCGCGTCCTTGTGGAGAATCACGCTCACTATTCCTCTCGGCGCCGCCCTGTCGCCGCCGTCACCATCTCCTGTTCTGGCTCTGATGATCCTTTTCGCTTGCCTCCTCCTCTTCTTCTTCTCCGTGTACGCCAGCATGTAACGCTCGTTCCCGAAGATTCGGAGGAGATCGGTAACGCCATCCATGCTCACGCTCGCCTTCTCGCCGTCATAACACCCACCAGAGCGCGCACGCCACCAAAGGACGGACGAACAGAGGAACAGATGCCGTTGGGGTTAAACACTTCCATCACCTTGACAGGAATAACAACTGCGGGTAGGGGGAGGCGTAAGGGGAATTCCCGCTTCGAAACACAAGAACGACATCAACGGAACGCCCGGAAAAAGCTACCCACCCTACACAGAGGCTGGATGCCGTGCCTACCAATCCCCACGCACGCTTTGCGCACTTCCCGCCCCACATTCGCGCGCTTCCACAACCCCAAAAGCGAACAAACCTAGACAGCGTGTTGGCGCATTTTCTTTATCCCGCTGGTCAGTCAGTCGACGCGACCCGATCGACGTAAGCGGAATAACTTTTAACACACCTGCGACCACGTCTTGAAAGCATTTGTGGTCAACCTCGAAGACAAGAAAATGTTCTCCCGCCTCGAGACGGTGGACGGGGACGAAAGCAGGCCCTTCCCCGCCTCCTCTTTCTCCTCGATGGTCAGCGGTGCCGCCGCGGCGGCCGCGGCCGCCGTGTTGTTGCCCGTATCCACAGCAGCAGCAGCCCCCGTCCCCGTTGCTACTTCTTCTACTTGCCCCTTCTCCAGCCCGGACCGTCGCTGCAGCAGCGGTTCCGTTTCCAAGTCCCCAGCGGGACCACCACCACCACCACTACCACCAGGAGCACCGCTGCTCCCCCCCGAACCCGCCGCCGCCGCCGCCGCGGTGTCTCCAACGGCGATGGTCTGGAGGAGGCTCTCGAGGGGCTCCAGGGCCGAGGAAGAGTAGGGAGAGCGAGGTACGACGGGCGTCTGCGCCATGGCGGACGGGTCGCTCCCCGAGGCGACGAAGTCCCGGACCAGGAGGTGGGTCCGCTCGTGGTTGAGCACGCTGAAGCAGACCGCGCGGATCTCGTTGTAAATCGCGGAGATGTCGACCAGGCTCAGGATCACGTAGGCGGCCACGATGGTCTGCCTCGACGTGCCCACCAGCGTGCACAGCCCGATCCCCGAGAGCATGCCGAGTACGTCGACGACGGCGATCTGCGCCTCCCCTTCGTGTTTTTTGCGTTCAGCATAGCAGCGGCGGGAGGACAGGCTGGGGTTAAGAGGGTCGAGAGGATGAATGAGACGGTGCAATACGACAAGGGCAAAAAGTGGGCGGAAAGAAAAACAAGCCCACAGAGAGGAGGGAGGAAAACGATCACCAAAGGGGACAGATCGAAACAAAGGGAGGGAGTGCACCAAACCACACTACACACGACGACGAGAGCGCCAAAGACACAAAAGGCAAGAACTACTCGTGCGTGTCGTTTTCGAGATGCTCGGCAAATGGGCAAGACACAAGAGGCCGCCAACCGCTCCGCGAAAGCCGCCGAGAATATCCAAGCGGAACGCGGACGCCACGGGTACCATGCATCTCTACTGTATCGCCGCTGTACATGTCCCCGTCAGCGACGCGGCGGCACAGCATCCTCGTCCTCGCTCTGCACCCTCCTCACCCTTGGCGGTGATGTCCCCGATGTTCTCCCCGCGGGCAAAGCTGCGGTAGATGGTGTTGCGCGTGGCGCTCGAGGTGAGCATGCTCATCTGCTTGAACGAGTTCGCCATCGCGGCCAAGACGAGAAAGCTCGCCGGAAACACGTACGTGACGATCTCGAGGCCGTTCCCCGCCGCGTAGAGGAGGCTTTCACGTAAGGTTTGTGGAGAGAGGGAAATAGCGTGGGGAGGGGGAGGGGGTGTACTCATAGTCGTGCATGCCGTAGTCGTTAGACCATTGACCTCGCATCCCTAGGTAGTCGGGACGGAGCACGCCGGGTTCTCACCGGACCGGCCCTCACATCACCAAGCGCGAAACGCCGTGAGGTATTCGGCGAGTCGGCATGAAGGGTGCGCTGNGGAAATAGCGTGGGGAGGGGGAGGGGGTGTACTCATAGTCGTGCATGCCGTAGTCGTTAGACCATTGACCTCGCATCCCTAGGTAGTCGGGACGGAGCACGCCGGGTTCTCACCGGACCGGCCCTCACATCACCAAGCGCGAAACGCCGTGAGGTATTCGGCGAGTCGCATGGAGGGTGCGCTGCATCCTGCTAAGGGTGTTCGGCATCTTGTGCTTACTTGCGTACGGATGACAGCTGCGTATGACCTAATTTATTTTCTGGTGTTGTCACTTCCAGAGACAGTTAAGCACTGTGTAACTGCCTCGAGGGTGCTAGACCATTCAACACAACGTGGTGCGATCATCCCCCTTGCGCGGAGTGAGGGGCTCTCCACCCCGCACAACATGATCTACTCGNTTATTTTCTGGTGTTGTCACTTCCAGAGACAGTTAAGCACTGTGTAACTGCCTCGAGGGTGCTAGACCATTCAACACAACGTGGTGCGATCATCCCCCTTGCGCGGAGTGAGGGTTGTCCACCCCGCACAACATGATCTACTCGACCACCATTATGGTTACCGCCAAAAAAAAACAGAGGTAAAAAAAAAAACGGTAACCTGGTCGCCGAGCTCACGAAGCGAATCGGCTTGTTTTACAACGTTGTTGCCAAGAGACGAAAACCCAATCCCGATGGCAAACACC